GTAGAATTTTTTGACATAGGTGCTGGCAGATTACGGGCCTCCCATAGCTGCTGCCAGGCCCCTAATCTGCCATAGGCCCCTATATACCGCCTCCTCATGCTGCTGCCAGGTCCAGAGTCTGTCATGGGTCCCTGTACGGCCCCCCATTGCTGCTGTCCTCCATCGCCACACTCTGCCATGTGCCACTTTCAGGTCTCCTCACACACTGCTGGTGTGTAGAATTTTTTGACATAGGGTGCTGGCAGATTACGGGGCCTCCCATAGCTGCTGCCAGGCCCCTAATCTGCCATGGGCCCCTATATACCGCCTCCTCCTCATGCTGCTGCCAGGTCCAGAGTCTCTCATGGGTCCCTGTACGGCCTCCCATTGCTGCTGTCTGTCTCCATCGCCACACTCTGCCATGTGCCACTTTCAGGTCTCCTCACACACTGCTGGTGTGTAGAATTTTTTTGACATAGGGTGCTGGCAGATTACGGGCCTCCCATAGCTGCTGCCAGGCCCCTAATCTGCCATGGGCCCCTATATACCGCCTCCTCATGCTGCTGCCAGGTCCAGTCTGTCATGGGTCCCACGGCCTCCCATTGCTGCTGTCTCCATCGCCACACTCTGCCATGTGCCACTTTCAGGTCTCCTCACACACTGCTGGTGTGTAGAATTTTTTGACATAGGGTGCTGGCAGATTACGGCCTCCTATAGCTGCTGCCAGGCCCCTAATCTGCCATGGGCCCCTATATACCGCCTCCTCATGCTGCTGCCAGGTCCAGAGTCTGTCATGGGTCCCTGTACGGCCTCCCATTGCTGCTGTCTCCATCGCCACACTCTGCCATGTGCCACTTTCAGGTCTCCTCACACACTGCTGGTGTGTAGAATTTTTTGACATAGGGTGCTGGCAGATTACGGGCCTCCCATAGCTGCTGCCAGGCCCAGGCCCCTAATCTGCCATGGGCCCCTATATACCGCCTCCTCATGCTGCTGCCAGGTCCAGAGTCTCTCATGGGTCCCTGTACGGCCTCCCATTGCTGCTGTCTCCATCGCCACACTCTCTGCCATGTGTGCCACTTTCAGGTCTCCTCACATGCTGTGTGTGTTGAATTTTTTGACATAGGGTGCTGGCAGATTACGGGCCTCCCATAGCTGCTGCCAGGCCCCTAATCTGCCATAGGCCCCTATATACCGCCTCCTCATGCTGCTGCCAGGTCCAGAGTCTCTCATGGGTCCCTGTACGGCCTCCCATTGCTGCTGTCTCCATCGCCACACTCTGCCATGTGCCACTTTCAGGTCTCTCTCTCACACTGCTGTGTGTGTAGAATTTTTTTGACATAGGGTGCTGGCAGATTACGGGCCTCCCATAGCTGCTGCCAGGCCCCTAATCTGCCATAGGCCCCCCTATATACCGCCTCCTCATGCTGCTGCCAGGTCCAGAGTCTCTCATGGGTCCCTGTACGGCCTCCCATTGCTGCTGTCTCCATCGCCACACTCTGCCATGTGCCACTTTCAGGTCTCCTCACACACTGCTGGTGTGTAGAAATTTTTTGACATAGGGGTGCTGGCAGATTACGGGCCTCCCATAGCTGCTGCCAGGCCCCTAATCTGCCATGGGCCCCTATATACCGCCTCCTCATGCTGCTGCCAGGTCCAGAGTCTCTCATGGGTCCCTGTACGGCCCTCCCATTGCTGCTGTCTCCATCGCCACACTCTGCCATGCCACTTTCAGGTCTCCTCACACACTGCTGGTGTGTGTAGAATTTTTTGACATAGGGTGCTGGCAGATTACGGGCCTCCCATAGCTGCTGCCAGGCCCCTAATCTGCCATAGGCCCCTATATACCGCCTCCCCATGCTGCTGCTGCCAGGTCCAGAGTCTCTCATGGGTCCCTGTACGGCCTCCCATTGCTGCTGTCTCCATCGCCACACTCTGCCATGTGCCACTTTCAGGTCTCCTCACACACTGCTGGTGTGTAGAATTTTTTGACATAGGGTGCTGGCAGATTACGGGCCTCCCATAGCTGCTGCTGCCAGGCCCCTAATCTGCCATAGGCCCCTATATACCGCCTCCTCATGCTGCTGCCAGGTCCAGAGTCTCTCATGGGTCCCTGTACGGCCTCCCATTGCTGCTCTCCATGCCATGTGCCACTTTCAGGTCTCCTCACACTGCTGCTGTGTGTGTTGAATTTTTTGACATAGGGTGCTGGCAGATTACGGGCCTCCCCATAGCTGCTGCCAGGCCCCTAATCTGCCATAGGCCCCTATATACCGCCTCCTCATGCTGCTGCCAGGTCCAGAGTCTCTCATGGGTCCCTGTACGGCCTCCCATTGCTGCTGTCTCCATCGCCCACACTCTGCCATGTGCCACTTTCAGGTCTCCTCACACACTGCTGGTGTGTAGAATTTTTTGACATAGGGTGCTGGCAGATTACGGGCCTCCCATAGCTGCTGCCAGGCCCCTAATCTGCCATGGGCCCCTATATACCGCCTCCTCATGCTGCTGCTGCCAGGTCCAGAGTCTCTCATGGGTCCCACGGGCCTCCCCTGCTGTCCTCATCGCCACACTCTGCCATGTGCCACTTTCAGGTCTCCTCACACTGCTGGTGTGTTAGAATTTTTTGACATAGGGTGCTGGCAGAATTACGGGCCTCCTATAGCTGCTGCCAGGCCCCTAATCTGCCATAGGCCCCTATATACCGCCTCCCTCATGCTGCTGCCAGGTCCAGAGTCTCTCATGGGTCCCTGTACGGCCTCCCATTGCTGCTGCTGTCTCCATCGCCACACTCTGCCATGTGCCACTTTTCAGGTCTCCTCACACACTGCTGGTGTGTAGAAATTTTTTGACATAGGGTGCTGGCAGATTACGGGGCCTCCCATAGCTGCTGCCAGGCCCCTAATCTGCCATAGGCCCCTATATACCGCCCGCCTCCTCATGCTGCTGCCAGGTCCAGAGTCTCTCATGGGTCCCTGTACGGCCTCCCATTGCTGCTGTCTCCATCGCCACACACTCTGCCATGCCACTTTCAGGTCTCCTCACACTGCACTGCTGTGTGTAGAATTTTTTGACATAGGGTGCTGGCAGATTACGGGCCTCCCATAGCTGCTGCCAGGCCCCTAATCTGCCATGGGCCCCTATATACCCCCGCCTCCTCATGCTGCTGCCAGGTCCAGAGTCTGTCATGGGTCCCTGTACGGCCTCCCATTGCTGCTGTCTCCATCGCCACACTCTGCCATGTGCCACTTTCAGGTCTCCTCACACTGCTGGTGTGTTGAATTTTTTGACATAGGGTGCTGGCAGATTACGGGCCTCCCATTGCTGCTGCCAGGCACGTAATCTGCCATGGGCCCCCGTACCGACTCCTCATGCTGTGACGTTGCAACAAGGTGGAATTCAACCCTACATATGTTAGACCGCCTTTACGAACAGCGAAAGGCCATCACCGATTTCCTGATGTTAAAAGCGGATAAAGGTACTCCCTGTGTAACTTAGATGTCAGCCATTGGCAGCTCATGCGTGACACCTGCGCTTGCTCAGGCCCTTTGAGGAGGCCACGCTATTCGTGAGTCGGCAGGACTATGGGATGAACGACGTCATTCCTCTGTTGCACGTCCTGGAACAAATGCTGTTAACAATGGCTGGTCAGGGTGCGGTAGACGTGGCGCACAGATCTCAACGCCACATGACCCCTGTGGGGGCAGGACAGGAAGAAGAAGAGGAGGAGGTAGAGGAGGACATTGGTGCTCAGGAATTATTGAGTGAAATGGGTGGTTTTTCCACTCAGCGGACAGGAGTGGAGTGGAGGAGCAGGAGCATCTGGTAGAGGAGGAGGAGGAGACAGAGGACCCAGACGCACCGTGGCAGTATGCTGTGGAGATGGAGGCAGGGAGTCCCTCGCATTCCTTGGCACAAATGGCCCATAGCATGCTCGCTTGCTTGCGTAGCGACAGCCGAATAATAACCATCAGACAGAGGGATGACTTTTGGCTGTCCACCTTGTTGGACCCTCGCTACCGTTCAAAAATGGTGGCCTTTTTCACACCTGCTGAGAGGGAGGCCAAAAAAACGTACTATAAAAACCACCTATGTAGTCAGCTGGTCTCTGCCTGTCTGCGCCAACGTCCATCCTCAGACACTGTGGGCCCTGTGCGCTCGCGCGTTCCGCTGCCATGGCAGCAGGGGAGGGGGGGGGTGGTAGGAGCAGTGGCAGCTCCACCAGCAGCGGCTGCCTCAGTCTGCAGTCGATGATGAGAGTAGCTTTCTTTCACCAGCGCAGTGAGGAAACTACTAACCGCCAGCAGCAGCAGCAGCAGCAGCAGCATCAGGTGGACCTGGAGCAGGACCTCAAACAACAGGCTTAGGCCTACTTGGACAGCACCCTGCCAACCGAGGTAGACAATCCCCTTGACTACTGGGCAACGAAACTTGACCTTTGGCCCCAACTAGCTGAATTTGCCCTTGAAAGGCTGTCATGCCCGGCCAGTAGCGTGGCATCGGAGCGCGTGTTTAGTGCGGCAGGAGGTATTGCAACTCCGCGAGGACACACGACTGTCCACCCAAAGTGTGGAGAGACTGACGTTTGTGAAAATGAATCAGGCGTGTGGATTAGTCTGGATTTCAAACCACCAGTTCCTGACACAACTGACTAAATCCGCCATGAATCATGCCCCAAACATGTGCCACTTTCAGGTCTCCTCACACTGCTGGTGTGTTCCATTTTTTGTCATAGGGTGCTGGCAGATTACGGGCCTCCCATAGCTGCTGCCAGGCCCCTAATCTGCCATGGGCCCCTATACCGCCTCCTCATGCTGCTGCCAAGTCCAGAGTCTCTCATGGGTCCCTGTACGGCCTCCCATTGCTGCTGTCTCCATCGCCACACTCTGCCATGTGCCACTTTCAGGTCTCACACACTGCTGGTGTGTTAGAATTTTTTGACATAGGGTGCTGGCAGATTACGGGCCTCCCATAGCTGCTGCCAGGCCCCTAATCTGCCATAGGCCCCTATATACCGCCTCCTCATGCTGCTGCCAGGTCCAGAGTGTGTCATGGGTCCCTGTACGGCCTCCCATTGCTGCTGTCTCCATCGCCACACTCTGCCATGTGCCACTTTCAGGTCTCCTCACACTGCTGGTGGGTTCCCATTTTTTGTCATAGGGTGCTGGCAGATTACGCCTCCCATAGCTGCTGGCCCCTCCCATACCGCTGCTGCCAGGCCCCTAATCTGCCATGGGCCCCTGTTGTCGCTTGTTGGCATATTCCGCTCGTTCAGATGCTCCTTCTCCTGCTACTCCTCTTCACGGATTCCGTCAGCAGTCTTTCTTGGAATCCGTTTCCAAGAGACAACAGTTTGCGAGCACGCACCAGACGGTGCAGAAACTGAACGTCCTCCTGTCCAAGTTGCTGCTGCCAGGCTCGTAATCTGTCATGCGCCCCTGTACCGCCTCCTCATGCTGCTGCCAGGTCCAGAGTGTGTCATGGGCCCCCGTACCGACTCCAAATGCTGCTGCCAGGCCCGTAATCTGTCATGGGCCCCTGTACCGCCTCCCCATGCTGCTGCCAGGTCCAGATTGTGTCATGGGTCCCTGTACGGCCTCCCATTGCTGCTGCCAGGCCTGTAATCTGCCATGGGCCCCCGTACCGACTCCTCATGCTGCTGCCAGGCCCGTAATCTGCCATGGGCCCCTGTACCGCCTCCTCATGCTGCTGCCAGGTCCAGAGTGTGTCATGGGTCCCTGTACGGCCCTCCCATTGCTGCTGTCTCTATCGCCACACTCTGCCATGTGCCACTTTCAGGTCTCCTCACACTGCTGGTGGTTTCCATTTTTGTCATAGGGTGCTGTATGGCCTCCCATTGCTGCTGCTGCCTCCACCGCCACACTGTGGCTCCACACTCTGGTTTTGGCCCCGTGACTGCCCAAATGAGTGAAGTGTGCGGTGATTCTAAGATCGACGGCACTCATCTGCATGTCATACTGCCTGACAGTATTATTTCTCTTCCCCAGCAGACTCCAAGGGCATTTAAATTAAAGGTACAGTGTTCAGCACTAATATTAAGTCTCTCTGAAGCCTAGAAACACCCTTTTTTAAGTTAAATTCACAGCGAATATATTCGACTCGAATCGAAATTTTTCTACGAATTCGCCGAATCAGTCGAATCGAATTTTTGAATACTTCGCTCATCTCTAATAATATACATCATTCAAAACGGTGAGCTAAAGCTGTTTGATCACCAACAGTGGGTAGCAATATAAACATACAAGGGAAAACATAGGACAAAATTCCCAATTGACAACAGCAAAACAATAACCATGCCTGCAGATGTCCAAGAGGTACCTGTAGTAGGATGGGTAAACACATCACAATGTAAAAGCACCACACCATGTTCCACCCCACAGAGTTACATCAAGAGAGCCATTTTCACTCAAATACAAAACAGGTAAGCTTTAGACTAGTAATATAACATCCAAGTCGAATTCTCAACAAATACGATTTTACCAAGACCCTAGCAGGAGAAAAATCGTGGAATATTCACTCACTCAGAGATCATACCTTGTCAAACTTAAGGAGAGCTCCCCTTTTAAGATAAATTGCCTTGTAAAAGGGAAATGTCTTCATAATCTGGGACTTCCAAGCCCCCATGGTAGGAGCGTGTGTTCTTTTCCATGAGAGAACAACTAGTTTCCTAGCATGGAAAAAGAGCAGGGTGAGTAGTGTGCGTATAGCTGTAGTAGGGGCCAAATTATCCACCAGACCAAGAAGGCAATGTATCACTGACTGGTGAAGCGGTATAGTGGTAACGTCTTGACTCCACCGTATGACTTACCACCAGAACCCCTGTATAGCTGGATAATCCCAAAATATGTGAATGAAATCAGCCCTGTCCGCCAGACAACGCCAACAGGACTCTGTTTTGTCATTTTAAGAGTTGCTGTTGTTCCCAGTTGCTTCCTCTTTGTTATAATAACACTAACTGTTGACTGTGGAATATTTATCCCAGTACCACACTTGAATTCACTGAGCTCCTGAGAGCGACTCATTCTTTCACAAATGTTTCTAAAAGCAGTCTTCATGCCTAGGTGCTTGATTTTATACATATGTGGCCATTGAGGTGATTAGAACACCAGAATACAATGATTTAGAGGGGTGTCCCAATACTTTTTTGTTTTGTTAATATAAGCGTTAATGTTTTGTACTAAGCAAAATTGGTGGACATTGAGGAAAAGCCTGAACAGTGTTTGGATTGTAATTATGGAGCTATTTTCCTGCATATTGTTTTTAGTATTGCTTTTTATTACCACATTGTATAAGAGAGCAGTAATATCCTAAGATGTCTATTGGCTGAGCTTGATTTTTGAATCAAGCACTGAATTTGACAGCTATGCTGTTTATAAGCTGTATGTGTACATACACTGGGCTTGCTGATCAGAACTATGTAATCATAGGGTGTGTTAACATTATAAAAACCTTCTTTTTTTTTCTTTGCTCATTCTATTCACATACTCTGCTTCCTGCTTTTTGGTACCACTTACACTGTGAGGCTGTCAATAGATTGTGTAATTTTCTTCAACCTTCAACCATGGGTCAAAAGAAAATCGCTTGATTTTTTTCCCCATCAACACAGTCAGTGTTGACGGAAGAATTCCTCCCTATGCACTATTGTATTCTGACAGCAGATTTCCCCACCGGCAGAATACAATGATTACTGCTGGCGGCTATAGTCGCTGGCAGCAATTGTACACAAAAAAACCCCCAACAGGCTGGTTGTACGATCAGCTTAAATACAACCAGCCTGCCCATAAATGGATCGAAATTTGGCCTGATCCTGGCGAACTGGCTGAATTTTCATCCGTCTGTGACCGGCTTGTCTGCACCTTAGGTGCAGGTACACATGCTTGGCAGCCCCCCGCTCCCCTCCAATATTAGGTATCTTATCTCAAGAGTTGTTAAAGCTGAACTCTGGGAATGTGATTAAAAACAACCCCTGCAGTGGGGTCCCCTCACATTGCACGGGATACATTTTTGTAAAAGAGGAGCTCCAGACAGTTTTCTGAAAATAAGTCCGCAACTACAAAAACTGTAGCTGCTGACTTTTAACAAACCTACACCTACTTGTATCAGGATCCAGTCCTCTGTGACATGTCCCAGAAGATTGTGGGGAGTGAAGGGGGGGGGGGAGGAGAACTTCCACTCAGATCACCTAGGCGATCTGAGCAGAAGTGGGACCAGGTAACTGTCAACCCCCCCCCCCCCCCCCCAAACTACAGAATGTCAGAGGAGCTGGGAGGAGACATTAAAACATAACTTCCCCTTTTGGGTGGAGTTCTGCTTTAATTCAAGGGTGCACAGATGAGGAGAAATACTTGCCTTACACCTGGCTCCAGTAGGCTCCTTCCATCCATGCAACAGGTCCCCCCCCAGTAGTATAGTTGTTCCATGTGACCATTGCCTCACAGCAGTGCAGCTGCTATGAATGAAGAAGGGGGTGAGGTGGAAAGGATGGGCATAGTCGGGCACTCTTGATGAGTGCCTATCACAGCTCCCCCTAATTCTATTAACTCCCATCACACTGGAAGATTACAGCAGTGGGGATGGGGGGTTGGTGGAGGAAGATTTTGAAGAAACTGGGAGCCAGCAGCACAAGGGGCACATCTGATGGGACAGAGCAGTTGCAACCTGAATGGCTGTGGTTAATCTGCAAATCTGAAAATGTAGTTCCATGACAAAAATATGGAAGTGCAAGAATTTTACAAATGTGAAAGTTATATTTGAAAATAGGCACATATTGCAATAGGTAATTTAAAATATATACTGAAACATACTATTTAAGTAGGATTTACCTTTCTTTGTTTTTTAACATGTTATTTTTACCTCCAGTGGGTTTACTGAAAAAGAACAAACAATACCTGATTTTATTGAACATTCAAACAGGTTCTTGAATGAGATTTGAGATTGCACTCTTGGGTGGTCATAAAAAAAAAACGAAAAAATAACCAAAATTTCTAAATTGCGTAGAGAGCAATCACAAGTACCCTGATGGTTAAGGGACAATTGTTACCACAAACTGACATTCTACTAAGTTGTAACCATTACGCCTTAATGATATGCTTGCTATTTGGTTGCCCCAGTGGTGATGGTGCAAGCACATTATAACTCATCAGTCTAATTTTTGTTTTCTCTCTTTCCAGTTTGAAGACATCGGGAGTTTTGAGACTGTATGGCAAGTAAAGTTCTACAACTACCATAAAAGAGATCATTGCCAGTGGGGCAACAGCTTCAGCAGCATTGAATATGAGTGCAAACCCAACGAGACCCGAAGCCTGATGTGGATCAATAAAGAAATGTTCCATTGAAGCCAACTAAGCTGGACATTTTTTTAATGAGCTAATCAACCTGACCAGCACAATGAGCCTATTAAAGCCACATAATAGTGTATATAACATATCAGGAGCTAAGAGGAATCTTAATGGCTTAGTGTTTACTAAAAGTGGAATCTCCTGCACAGAGTGGAGACCGTTATGATGCTGGGAGATGATGGTGATAACAGCTCAGTTTATCAACCCAACAGTGACATCACTGGAAGGTTGGGGTTTCCTACAGTGTTTCAGCATTAGTTCCTTGTGAATTCAAAATGGCCAACTCCACTCTGTATTGGTGATCTGTACTCTTTAAATGACTGAATATTCTTTATGAAAATATGTTTAAATCATATGTTTGTTTACAGCTGTGTAGTAGAATATGTATTATTTTTTTAAATATTGTGTCTTTATTGTAATTGCTGCTTAGATTTAGAACAATCAAGGGTTATTTGTTAATGGGCTGCCAAATTAGTGGACTTTGGGATCTTTCAGATGGCTGGTGAACCATATCAGAAAAGTGAAGTTGACTGATTAGCATTTTCATTTGTAATAATCCATGTTTGACTGGCTATGATCACCTTCAACATGAACAAAGTTGTCACTGAAGGACACTCAAATGGGCATCACTATTGGGAGGCATCCATGTGTATGTGCTATTTCCTCATCAGTCTGAACAAGCCCTTAAATACTAATCCGGTTGAGGAGAATATCTAATTTTTTCCCTTAGAACCTGATTGTGTGTTTAAAGTGAATACAAGATAACTGACTGGTAGCCTTTAGTAAAACACACTTTTAGTATTATATCTATATTAATTTTAGGTATCAGACAGAGGGCCTCAGACAAATGACGCCGTCTAAAAGAAGAACTGCTTGACCAACCGCTTCTTCCATTCATTTGCTAACATGTCCTAGGTTCCAGGGATGTATTTGGGGATCATTCTTCTCAACTGAGGGCTAGATATTCCAATATAGCCCTGGCTTAAGAAGCAGACGGGGCATCTTTCTCAGGACACCCTGTACCACGTTGCCATGTGTGTACCTGCTTCTTTAAAAACTGACTGTGACAAGTTAGCAAATTACCAAACAGTTATTTGCTACTATTCCCAATCTGAGCAGGTCCAGTTCTATGTGCCCCATTTAATTTATGGGGCAGGGCAATATTGATGTTTGAACATTCTTGTTGCTGGACCAACTCTGTGTCTTGTGGGCATTCATGGTGCAACATTGTTATTTGTGTCATAGTAACATTCATGGTACAGGCCCAGTTCCATGTGTCTTTGGGGCATTCTAAGATATGGAACTGGTTTTGCACCATGAATGACCACAAGAAACATGGATCTGGCCCTGCATCATGAATGTCCACATGAGAGACATTGAACGGCTTTGCACCAGTATGTCATATGG